AGGGATGATGATGATGATGATGATGATGATTGGTTGTTAAAAGGAGGTGGTTTTTGGGCGGGGGGGGGAAGGAGGGGAGGGGGAGGGGGGGGATTGAATTTTTGGATTTGGTTTTGGGTTTTGGGGTTTGGGGCTGGTTTTTGGTTTTCGGGTTTTGACTTTTGGGTTTTGGGTTTTGGGTTGGAGAGGAGAAGGAGAGGAAAACCGCGCTGGATACTGCTACGAAACGAATGGATCAGTCCGCCTCCAACATGTGCGCCGCGAAGAACAGATATCACGGCGGTGGTACCGGTACTGTACAGCTTGCCCCGCCGCAACAGGTGCCAGCCGAAAAAGCACAAGACCGCGATCGTCCGCGATGCGCGCTTCTTACTGTATCATCCTCTCTCTGTGACAACTTGATGAATGCTGCTGCTAGCGGTACCGGTTACCTCGACGCGTTCTCCCCGCTGCGGCTTTCACTCTTGATCATCGGCTTATCTGGTATCAGACTTTTGGAATTTATTTGTATAGGTATATATATATATATATCTACCTATATATATTTTTTTAAAAAAAAAGAATGATTACAAATCGCTACCGCGAAAGCCCTCGAAAAATGCTTCGCAGCACGATTTGATTGATGATCTAGGTAACTATCTATCCTCGAGAGCAAGCGATAGCGCGCAGCGAGCATGGATTCACATCGAGAGCCGTCTGCGGGGAAATCATATCCATCGTCCGAGGTGGACGAATCGTTGTTGCAGATCGAGGTATTGGAAAAAAAAAATATATATATATATATATCATTTACCCCCAAACATAGCCATTCGGCATCATCTTATCTCAAAAGAGTCTTTCCAAGCTGAATGCAAACCCGTCTTGCGAAAGCTGCGACGCAGATATGGGTTTGGGATAAGAGAAAGCGACGAGCAATAATGTCGCGTGACAGTCTCGGCTCTGATTCGCTCGCAACTATATATATATGATGGTGTGTTCTTACTCGGTAGGTTAAATTCATTCCCCCCTCGACTCGAACCCGATCGGGCACGTTTGGATGGCATTTACGAAAAGAAAAAAAAAGAAGAAGAAGAAAAGAAAAAAAAAAAGAAAAAAAAAGAAGAAAAAAAAGGGAAATAGGAAAAGGCTTGATTAAATGACAGATGTCTTCCGACGTTGCGATCGACGAACCGGATGCAGATCACGTAGGGCAGAAGGGCAAGAGTCGTCTATACGCTACGAAGGATAAATTGAGTTGGTTGTTATTCGATACGTACGTACGTAAGCACTAGTACTAGGACGTAGTAGTACGTAGTAGTAGTAGTAGTTTGTGTGAAAGTATGCCGGATGAGATGAAAGCTTATGTCGCGGCTAAAAAGCTAGCATACGAAGTACAGTACTGCGGTCGGCAAGCATCCGGATACCTAGTTAAGCGAGAGAGAGAGAAAAAAAAAATTAGAACAGACGAGAGAGGTTGAAGTCAGAGATCCGATGGTGTCTTTTTTTTTTTTTTTTATGTGACGTGATTTGCATTGGTGTTCGTGACGCGGTTTGAGAAGCGGGAGCTGGATGTCGGAAATGGGTTTTGTTCTTCATATCCTCGCTTGAAGTGGCCAGCCGCAGTCGCCTACGTAGTACTGTAGAGCTGGAGCTGGCCGCCGCAGACCTAGTAGTAGGTAGTAGTACTTGCGACAGACGACCCGCTGCAAGTCTATCGTGCTACCGGTACCGGTAGTAGGTCAACATCGTCAGATGGGGGGTCGACCAATCGCAAGACGGGAGAGGGGACCCCCGGGCGTTGGATCGACGGCTTGCAGGCTGAAACTCCGGGAATGTAGGTAATATGATCCGTGCGCTTTCGAATAATCAGCTTAGAAATTGAGGAGAATGAAAAGGCGTGTAGCGAGTAGAATATATTTTATTTTTTATCTTTTTTTTTGTATAATTATTGGGTAATGGAGAGGTGATAGCTGAAGGTCTAATGTTTGGTTTTGACGTTCTCGCTTAAGTGGCCCACAGCAGTTGCCTCGTACTGTACAACGTGCGTAGTAGCATCTGTGATCCTGTCGCGGCTGCACGGTACGCGGGAGGATGGCTCGGGTGATTGATAGGGACGTTTGGCGGATGCTATTCAGAAGGTCGGATGAAGCTTGAGAGAGTATTGAAGGGGGACGACGATATCTGAAGATAAGGTGATGTCTACCTGGAGAAATAGTGGGGAGATCAGAAGGAGCAATGGCTGGCAAGTACGCGGCTGCTGCTGCTGCTGCTGCTGCTGGATAGCGGAATACCTTGATTCGGATTGATAAGTAATGTGGTACTGACTGACTGACTGACTGACTGTACAGAGAATGAGCCAAGCGAGCTGCTAATTAACCGAACAGAGATGTGGTTGCAGCTTAAGGTAAAGAAAGGTAGGTAGGTAAAGCTCCATCTTCGAGTAAAGTCGGAATCAAATTCTTCAATGATCTTCATGTCGGCGGACACATTCTGGCCGGGCTAGCGACGAGATGGACAGATGTACTACAGTCGGACTTGTGTCTGAGAGGTGGGAGCTTGCATCATCACACCACCACCACCACCACTATCACCATCACCACCACCACGCACTCCTTCACTGGTTCCCTCACCGGTCCGTCACACCGGTCTGCAACTCTGCAACTCTGCCGTTGCGAGAGAGTCATCATTCAGGTCACACCGCTGCCACCTGCCTGTGCCTCTTACGCATTGCACCTCACCCCCGGTTCGAAGGCACACTATCAAGAATGAAGATGACTCTGGACTCTGCTTTCTCGGCTCTTTCTCGACCGTGGGCTACGAGCTGTGTCAATTCCCCCTAACGGGAACCGACAATATAGGTATCCAAGAGCCCCTTCGATTCTGTACTTCCATTGCTGATTGAATAACATTGACGCAGAGTACGACGGCTGGCAACCATTCCTTCGCCGTCAAAGGGCTTAGTAGAGTGGCAGCTAGCTGAAACCTCCTCGCCCGCATCGGATGCCTCTATCAGACATCCCGGCGAGGAGCTCAAGATGCTCGCTCCTACGAGTAGTGTGAGCCGGGAGGTAGCCATTCGATGGCGACGGGCTGCAAAGCAGGTTTGGCTTGCATGCAACGCAAGCGTGATTGGCATTCTAGGCTCCATTATCGACTGGGCTTTTTTCGTTCCGTTTTCACTTGCGACAGCTCTATCTTACACGGCCCTATGGTTGAATCTCTACAAACTCAAAAGGTGAAGTAGGTCCTGGGATCATCTAACTGCCCTCTGCTTCAAGTCGCAACTTTGATGCATAACATTGCTTTCAGTCAAAGTCTCTGATTACTTGGCTGCTATTGCACGAATGGCCATCCTTTACCCCCAAGTCTCCACGCTGAAGATGTCTTGCTTTCTTAACATTTGGCTCCTAAGCAATCCTTCCAGAGGGCAACCAAGAGTGCCGATATCTCATTTGAGAGAAAGGAAAGGTTGACATCTTAAAATCGCAGAAGCTCCACCATTCCTAAGAGCTGGCCCGAACTCGTCGCGTCTCACGCATGTTGGACATCGACCGACATGCAAGCCGGGGACTATCTTCACTAGCTCACGCAAGACGAGAAATCCGAGATCCGGTCAGCATTGGAACATTGCAAAGGTAGCCAGCTAGATCTCCCGTGCTTCTCGAATGCCCAAAGTTGAACTAATCGTGGCATAGTCCTGGAGTTGGACGGACACCAAGCTAATAGAGACAACTTCCCCCTTCCCACGCTTTCCGCAACCCTTGGAAATGCTCAGAGGGATATATTCGAAAGCAAAGATATATTCGTCCTACGAGGGCTCGATCCGAAGAGCTACAGCAATGCAGATCAGATATTGATATTCCTGGAATTTCATCTTACATTGCTGAGCGACGGGAAAAGCAAGATCGCAGAGGCAATAAACTTTGTGGGCTCCTTCTCCTTGAAGAAAGGGTAACTGATCTGCTAACGTGACAAATTTCATCTCCGCAGTACAGGTGTCCGATCGGAGGATCCGAATTGCAATTCCCCTTCATCACTAGTGAGAACCATTCGAGGAGGCGGCTGGGTCATATACATATACATGTATATATATTGACATGTTGCTAGAGCTTTCATACTAATGGACCGACTGATGTGATGGCAATGCAGACGAGAGGATGTGCGGCAGAAGGAGGCGATAGCATGCTTGCGTCATAGGAGATGGTATACAATGAGCTTGTACGAACTCGACCGGATGTTGTCTGCCTCTTAGCTAAACCAGACTGGCCAGCCGATGTGCAGGTTCACCGTTCTTCGACTGATCAACCAACCTTACCTCAACTGACTAGAAATTGACGTACAGATGGGACCCTAATTTTCTGAGCGAGCGGAGTGCATCTCTTTTTCCTGAAGGCAAAACAATCCTGAACTTCTCGGCTGCGCTGATCAAGGCACATACACGGTCACTCTTGGACGAAAACCAGCCTCTCCTCTCAACAGCTCAACTCGACGCCCTCGAGACCGTCGTTGCAACCCCCAATAAACACCATCTCAAAGTCAGCATGCAACCAGGAGACCTTCAATTCGTCAATAACTGTGCGATCCTGCATGCCCGAGAACCGTTTCAGGACGACAATGTCAACAAGAACACCTGGTTCGCATACGGCTCTCTTGTGAGAACAGGATATGGAGACTTCCTCATGACTTGGGCAACGTCCGATCAATCATCTTCGATGGAGACGAAGACGAGGGGAATCGGGAGATTGAACCTATGGCTGGGAAGAAACCGCCGCTTCCCTATTGCTCATCGCACTGAACTTTTCCGTCATTCGCCAGGGGCTCTTTCCTGAATTATGAACTACTGTTACGATCACCAAGAAATCGATGCTTTCTGAAGAACCTCGCGGAGTCATAATATCTTATGTGTTAATTGGTCATCCGACCGCTACGCTAGGGATGCTGCTGTGTATATATATACATATATATATATGTCTGTTCATATATCAAGATACATTCTCCCTATTCAATCCGATGCTACTGTCGCATCAGGTCTACTCCACACTACAGGCTCGTAAATGTCACTACCAGTCAGTATACACTTGCGCTGCCCAGTCACGAAACTCAATCCCGTAATTCACTCACCCCTTTCGCGCCTCCTTTCTCGCTCCTCTCTTCCCCCCCCCACACCCCCACCCACACACAACGAAGAAAAAAAAAGTAAAACTAAACTACTACTATATATGCCAACTCT